ACTTTTTTTTTGCTATGTTTGGTTGTAACTGGGACCTTCCATCCATCCATCCATTTTCTTTACCCGCTTATTCCATTTTGGGTCATGGGGGTCGCCGGTGCCCATGTCCAGCAATCACTTTGCGAGGGGCGGGGTACACCCTGGACGGGTCGCAAGTCCATCACAGGGACACATAGAGACAAACAACCATTCACTCTCTCACTCACACCTAGGGACAATTTAGAGTTACCAATCAGCCTAACATGCATGTTTTTGGTCTGTGGGAGGAAACTGGAGCACCCGGAGAAAACCCACGCATGCACGGAGAGAACATGCAAACTCCACCCAGAAAGGCCCCTGGACCGGGGTTTGAACCAGGGACCTGCTTGCTGAGAGGCAGCAGCTCTACCAGTTGCACCACCGTGCTGCCCAACTGGGACCTTGAGTACACAATTTCATTACACCTCATGTACCACTTGTGATGCGAATGACAATAAAAAACCTTGAACTTGATTATCTACACATAGGCTCTCACACTAGTTCACTTTCATCTTTCAATCACTCCTTGGTCTGTTGCCTTATTATACCTCCTCCCACTTGTCACATCGTCAGTGCAGTTACAGCGTGCGCTCTTAGGCCATCATTACCTGCAGTATTCCCTCAGTGCAGACTGAACTCAACAAAAAGGCCTTTCCCTACTCTGCTCCTGTAACCTGGAACACCTTGCAATAGGAGCCGAAGCAGTCCACCTTAATTTCTTTATGGGATTTTAAACATTTGATAAGGACATTAGAAAAATCTAAAAATATATGTTCTTGTTTTTTTGTATTTTACCTTTTCTTTAACCTTATTTTACCTTGTTTTATTTATTATTATTACCTTGCTTTGTATTGTTGTATATTCTTGTCTGTACATTATATGTTGTCTGTCTAAAACAGAAAACGAGTCCTTGTGACTCTATGAGACTACCTGTATAAATAAAGGCTATATAAATAAATAAAGTTATGATTGGATAGTAATCTAATTATTTTTACATTCTGTTAATGAAAAGGAAAAACAGATTAGTAAATATATAATATAATATAATATATATATTTTTTAAAAGTATGACTTTTTATAACTGTATATTGTTGTTGCTGTTGTCCATTGTTGTCATCATTTTTTGTTATATCAGGTCTCTCTTGTAAATGAGTCCTCGAGGCTCAATGGGATTTACCTGTCTAAATAAAGGTTGAATGAATGAATATAATTATTCTGATAGTTTCCTTCACCTAGGCTGTCACTGTAGTCATGAACACATTGACTTGGCAAAGCTCAACCCATATGACTTTAAACAATATTATGTGATTAATAAATTACACACAAACAGATGCAGGAGTTTGTTATAGCCAAGATCAGAAAAGATTAAAGATGGCAACCGTTTATCCAATCATAAGTTGAATACAGCACTCAGAGTAAAATACTGACAGAACAGAATGTGCAGCTGAGGCTCAAACACAGTGAGTCAGTGAAGGTACTGTAGAGTTCTGGTGAGCTGCTGCATGAAAATAATAAAGTGCTGCACTTATTGCTGCCGTGCATAAGTACTGAGTTCAAATGAGCAGCCTACAGCTACAAATATTAGCATTAATAAAACAAGACATCAGTGCCTGTGGGGTTGGACATTATTGTAAAGTTAGTTTGGGCTAAAGATTTGCCAGCAAAAATAAGAGTACATCGAATGTTAATTATTTTTAAAACCATACATTTGTTGCTTATCTATTTAGTCTTTAGGGAGGTAAAAGCAGCAAACTAAAGCAAAAGTTGTTTAAGGCTACCAATACACTGTTACTTACACCTAAACTGTAATTCTCCATGTTTCATTTGTTTTACTGTGATTCAAAGTAAGGCTAAAACCAGGACGTGCCAATTAAAGAAGAAAACAGAAAATGTTTCAGATGTTTGCAAATATAAAATATAATGGAAAACGAATGGCAAAAAATGAAATAAACATGCAGGTCAGTTACATTAATCCAAAATATTGCTAATCAGAGGTTGCCCCCTAAAATATCTACTACTATACTTGTCATCATTACACCCACAGTATAGTTTCATCTTGTCACGTCACCGCTTCTGCAGACTGTCTGAATGATCTCATAAAGTAGTTCTGAGCAGCAGGACATGTTAGTACCTCAACAATAAGCTCAACATCGTTCAGAGGAGGGAGCTGATGGCACTTGAGCATATGTTTTCCCTCTCATTTCTAAAGTGTTTATGAAAGCATTTCTTTAATATTTATTAAAAATATGTAACATATTTCAGTCCTAGATAAAACGACTTGCCTGCTGGGTGTCACTTTACATCACGTACTGATGTAAGGTGACTTTTCCTGTATTTATCCTCTGTGTTCTCTAAGGAAGCTGCAGCTGTGGCCCAAAGACGCCTCACAAAGACATTCTGGGGAAAAGCAATAAGGCTGAATTCACAGAGCCGACGTGACATGTGTATTACGTGTTTGGAGGGTTATCATTTTCATTTTGGCTTCTATGTTCACAGATTGAAGCATATGTGCCAGATGCACGTCACATGCCTGTCACCTCCAGCTTAAAGCGCTGCAGCTTTGTGCCAGCTCGAGTTCGGAGCGGTGCCTATTCTCCCAGGCAGCCAAGCATCAGGGATGAGTCTTAGTAAATTACCCAGGTGAACTATTTCAGAATATGCTATTCAGATTAATTTGAGCAAACAGTGACAAGTTACAAATATTTAATAGTTGTTTTTCAATTGATTTCACTTATGCTTAACAAAACATATGTCAATAATACAACAAAAATAAGTTATTTGTAAATGTTAGCAAATCATTAGTGTATAAAATAATGCTATATTATTAGATTTACTGCAGTAGACCAGAAAGACAGTACTGGAGCTGTCTTCCATAAAAGTATGGCGACATATTAAATTACAGATTATGTGAAAGAACCATTTTTTTTCTCATACATTTAACATACAGAAAAAGGACCGTATGAATTGTTTTTTGCTTAACTCCATGTTACAGTTTGTTGGTGATATTGGAAACTGAATTATCTTGATGTATGCAGGACGATCTTTTTGTTTTACTTGGCCCTTTAGTGTTCATGTACTGAGGCCTCTGCAGAGCCCCTTTCAAAGCAACACAGTAATCATTGCAAGCGTCAAATGTATGACAATCTAAAACTAAAGCTTGCTTTTCTGACAGAAATGTAGGTTTTTCAACATAAATGGCTAAAGCAGCCTCAGGTTTATGAAGAAAACTCACTGCTTATCCACTCGGCGTTCGGGTCATGAACCTTGAAGTCTTTTCGGAAGAGGTCTCCAACCGTCACCTTGCCCTTCAGAGCCAAGCGGTCGTCTTCACCTGCCAAGGAAACAAACATGCTGTTAACTAAATATGAATACACAGTATGCTTGCCTGTGTTTAGCCATGACGAAACTCTTAGTTTGTATTTGTCTTATAGCAGGCAGACCAGTTTTAAAAATAAAAAAACAAATAAAAGTATGTTTCTCAGAGAAATTCATAATAATTCTTGACTGCTCACACAATAATTGATAGTTAAGAACCCTGGAAGTCATATTTTAATCCAATATGTGCTCCCTTAGTGTCATTTAACAAGGATTTGGAGGATTATTCTTACACAATTGTTCCATTTTGTTGTCCTACATAAATTAAGAGAGAAAACATGGAGGAGAAAACAGCCTGGGGTGAAAAAGTAATTGAGTTACTTTGGAATATGGTTGCAGAGATGTGTTCAGGACGTTGATGACAAAATGGCCATTAGAGGCAAATATAAAGTTAAAGTCTCCTCCGTTTGGCAATGGTTATTGTGATGTCTGTATGTGCGCGTGCGCGCGCGCGTGTGTGTGTGTGTGTGATATCACATTATAATCATAGGGAAAAAAGACAGTACACCTTCGGTCACTTCTAGAGTTTCACATATTAGAACATATAAAAATATGATTTGATCTTTATATGGTTCTAAGACTATTAAAATCTTATCTTATATTTTCAAAAACATGCAACAACACCAATGCTACTTATTAAACAAAACAAATAAACAAGAAAATAAATAAAGCCATCAAGGAAAAATGTATTTGAAACATGAACTGCACCCTATGATTCAATAGTTGATGGAACCATCTTCAGCAGCTCCTTAAAACCTTCATTAGAACTGTACAGTCTTTCACATTGTTGTGGAGGAATTATGTCTCTCTCTTTACAACATTGTTCCACCATATTTCAGTGAGGTTGAGGTCTGGACTTTGACTGAACCATCACCATTCCAACACTGTGCTTGACAGCTGGTAACTAGTGTTTGTATCAAGATTTGTGTTTGGCACAGAACCCAATAGCGCAGGCAGGACTCAGGACCAGGGAGGAAATTAAAACACTTTAATAATATAATACAAAAATAATAAGCCGACATGGCAGCAAACACTTACATGTCTCGAGGAAAACCTGGGACACAAGGAAAACCAGAAACACAGGACAATACCAGACGATGTGAAATACAAAGGCGTAGACTTATATACAAGCACACACTGAGAAACAATCACACACACCTGGCAGGACACGAATGTGGAGACAATCAGAGAAAACAGGGAGAACAGACAAGGAAGGCCCAGCAGAGAGCACCATCCTTACAGTACCCTCCCCCCAAGCCCAGAAACCCCCCGCCCCAAAAACAAAAACTAGGGTGGGCGGAGGGAGGGAGGAACTGCAAGGATGGAGGGCACGAGAAGAACACAAGGACAAGAAACCAAAAACCGACAGGACGAGGCCTGGGAACTAAAAACAAAGACTAAACACCAGAAAACATCAAAAGTTCAGGGGGGGGCGGCCGGGAGGCCGTCCGACATGAGGAGCGAGTTCGGGGGGGCGTCTGGAAGGCCGTCCAGCATGGGTCAACAGTTCGGGTGGACGGCCAATTGAAAATTTCACCCTGAGGGTCCATGACCGCCCAGTACAGGGAAAGGCAAGTGGGGGAATCATCGGTTCCTCAGGCAGGTTGACCCAGGATACTGTCACAGGCATGGAACGTCCCACGAAAGACGAGGAACACACAGGAGGCGGTGAGGAGCACACGGGGGCTGCAGTGGGCGTCGAGGAGCACACGGGGGCTTCAGCGGGCGTCGAGGACATGTCTGTGGTCTGTGTGGAGGCCTCTGGGGTCTGCGAGGGAGCCTCAGTAGTCTGCTTGGAGGCCTCAGCAAACTCAGGATCCCCAGGCTGAGGAACCTCTGCAGATTCAAGTCCTTCGGCGGCAGGTTCAAAGTCTTGGGCGAGAGGCGCAGAGTTTTGGGTGAGAGGTGCAGTGTCTTGGGCGAGAGGCGGAGAGTTTTGTGCGAGAGGAGCAGTGTCTTGGGCGAGAGGTGCAGAGTTTTGGGCAAGAGGTGCAGAGTCTTCGGCGAGAGGCGCAGAGTTTTGGGCGAGAGGTGCAGAGTCTTCTGCAGAAGGTGTGGAGAACCCAGGACAACATATGATGTGAGGGGCATCCTCCGGGACCCTCTTGAGACAGGAGATATGGGAGGGGTCCTCCTGGACCCCCTCGGAGCAAGAGACATGAGGAGAGGCGTCCGACTGGACCACCTCGGAGTACGAGACGTGAGGAGAGGCGTCCACCTGGACCCCCTCGGAGCAGGAAATGTGAAGAAAGGCATCCGTCTGGACCCCCTCGGAGCAGGAGACGTGAAGAGAGGTGTCCGCCTGGACCCCCTTGGAGCAGGAGACGTGAGGAGAGTAGTCCACCTGGACCCCCTCGGAGCAGGAGATGTGAGGAGAGGAGTACGCCTGGACCCCCTCGAGCAAGAAACGTGAGGAGAGGAGTCCGCCTGGACCCCTTCGAGACAGGAGACGTGAGAGACGTCCTCCAGGACCCCCTCGAGACAGGAGACGTGAGGGGCATCCTCTAGGACCCCCTCGAGACAGGAAACGTGAGGGGCATCCTCCAGGACCCCCTTAGAACAGGGGACGTGAGTAGCGTCCGCCAGGACCTCCTCAGAACAGGGCCCTGCAGCTGCTGGAAACCCTGCGGGTGCTGGAGACCTGGCAGGTTCTGGACCTTATCCCACAATAACACAAGAAGGTGAGTTTACAAGTGTCTGATACTCTACCTTAAGAGTCATTATCAAAGAAAGCATCTGTGAGAAGTCTGGGGTCTGTAACAGGCTGGGTCTGGACACAAGCAGGTCCTCCATCTTCAAGTAGACTGCTTGTTTGTAACAACAGTCTGAACTGAGGGTAGCAGAGTAGAAGAGTCCCTGAAGCTGTTTAGAAACAGCAATGACATCATCAGGCAAAATATCAGGGAAGTCCTCTGTGGAAACAGAACCCTCTGCAGAACCAGAACCCTTTGTGGAAACTGAGCCTGCTCGCTCCTCAGGTGAGCAGGGGCTCAGGTACCTCTCCCACGCAAAAGTTTCCACTGTTCCTCTGCAGAGAGAGAGAGTCCACTTGACCTGCAGGCAAGCGGGGGCTCAGGCACTGCCCCCCCCCCACCCTTTAAATTTCTCCCCAGCTCCTCTGAACACAAGTGGAAAGATTCGGGTGGAAGGAGGGGCTGATGATCAACTGTTCTGGTCCTTCTTTGCTGTCCGCTCCTCCGGTGGCGGCGGCGTGAGCTGGGACCAGACCCGAACCAAAACCTTTCTTTCGGTTCAGCCTCCTCCTCGGGTGTCCATTCGATGAACTTGTATGGTGTCGGAGAGGAGAAGGAGCTGGGTTTATAAGCCAGGTGGCTCCCCCAGAGCTGAGATCTGTCATGTTCCTCCTCCTGCAGCAGAAGAGGTGACGGGAGGATCTCAATCTTTGGACTACAGTTCCTCCGTCTCTGGACGGGTTCGATCCAGAACCCACTCCAATGAATGACGGGTGCATTTTCCTCAGCACGCTTTAATTCTTCCTCCCACCGGGCTGTCTGAGTCAACTGCCCGCTGGGTTCCTTTCTTGGTTTGGGCATACTGTCAAGATTTGTGTTTGGCACAGAACCCAGTAGCGCAGGCAGGACTCAGGACCAGGGAAGAAATTAAAGCACTTTAATAATACAAAAATAATAAGCTGACATGGCAGCAAACACTTACATGTCTCGAGGGAAACCAGGGACACAAGTAAAACCAGAAACACAGGACACTACCAGACAATGCCCAGACAATGAGAAATACAAAGACGTAGACTTATATACAAGCTCACACTGAGAACATATCACACACACCTGGCAGGACACGAAGGTGGAGACAATCAGACAATCAGAGAAAACAGGGAGAACAGACAAGGAAGGTCCAGCAGAGGGCGCCATCCTTACAGTTTGTGTCAGAGTTCAATGAAACAACTAGACAGTGCACTTCCTATCCCATCCACTGCTTGTATCTGTGACATCGTGGAGCAGCAAAGATGGTGTTCAAAGAGGGCAACAGCTCACAGCCAATAAAGCAACTATTTGATTAACAGCAAGTCCAAATGGAACTTTGTCACAAATTGTTTGTAATTTTTTTACAATAAATTAATAGAATTGACCATTAATGCTAATTTCATTCAACAAGCATTTTTTTTTCATTCAACCTTTTTATTTAGACAGGTAAATCCCATTGAGCCTCGAGGACTCATTTACAAGAGAGACCTGGTTTCAACAAAGAGTGATGACAACAATGGACAACAGCGAGAAAACAGCATGTAAAACTGCTAGATGATATATAAGGAAAATATAGTGTTCATATCCAACAAAGTTAAGTCAGGTCCTCTGGATGCTTTCTTTTTGTTGAAACATTTCAGGTGCATTCACACCAGCCCTGTTTAGTCCGCTTTAATCGAACTCTAGCTCGTTTTCCTAGAAAGTCCGGTTCGTTTAGGGAGGTGTGAACGCACCATCGAACTCTGTCATGGAACAAGAAGGTGAACTCTGGCCTGAGCTAAAACCTAGGTCTCGGTCCGGTAGAAGCAAACTCCAGCGTGGTTCCAGTACAGTGTGAATGTAAACAGACCGGCCCCGCTCCACAGGACAAACAAACACACATTTCTCTTAGATGGAGCCGTCAGCTGACTTGTGTGAAGAACAATATTCTCCATGGTCTTCTGTCTCATCTTCTGCTCATGCTAAGTCAATTTTTGAAAAATGACAAAATATAACTCCTAAAACTGATAAAACTTGATGCCACTTCATTTTTATTTTTATTTCCAGAAGAAGAAGAAGACGTGTCTTCAGAGGTTTTTGTGTCGTTTCTTTCAGTAGTTCTTGGTGCAGCGCCCCCACAGGCGAGCGGGGGAATAGGTTGGTTCAACAGGTTGACTCGACTGCACAGTGCAGTGTGAATGCAAACGCACCAGCTCAAATGTAACAAAAGCTCATGAATATTGGTCCAGAACCG